TTTTGTCCTTTTGAGACAGGGTCTCACTGTGCAGTTCAGGCTGGCCTTGAGCTCACTTTATAGCTCAGGCTGGTCTCGAACTCACAACGATCCTCCTGCCTCAGCCTCCTGAGTGCTGGGATTACAGGTGTGCGCCACCACGCCCGGCTGACACACTAATTTCTAAAGCATTTACATTTTTTTAGAGCTTCTGGCTCGTGGTGAATTTTAAGTAGAACTTCCCAGTTCCTCTCTTGGGCGCCTGTAGCTTTCAGGTTATTAAAGCTCAGGTTATATTGAATTACAGTTAGTTGCTTATCTGTCCTCTCACGGTAGTAGAGAAAATAGTGAAAGCCTGATGTGACTTTTTTTTAATTTAAATTTCTTCCCCACAAAGAGAGTGCCACAGTGCTTGTCATGTAAAAGACTCAGATATTAAAAGAATTAATAAAACAGGTTAACAGCTGGTGGTGGGTTGATGGCATATGGGATTTTCCTAGAGTGGCGAGTTACATGATTTAAGGGAATCCTGCTGAGCGTGGTGATATAACCTGGTAATCCTAGCTACTCCAGAAGCTGAGGTAGAAGAGTTACAATTTGGTAAGACCCAGTTTCATACAGTACAAACAAACAACCAGAACCTTTGTAGGGAAGAACCCAGAGGTAGACTTCAAATCAGTTGACTTCTACTCAGTAGTTCTTGCTGTCCTGATCAGGCTCTGGGACTCTGGAATAATGAAAATAAGGTCTTGTCACTTTTGTGTACCCCTATTCTTGCCTTCTCTGTGTGGTTTTTTTTTTTTTTTTTTTTTTTTTTTTTTTTTAAAGATAGGGTCTCACTGTGTAGCCCAGGCTGGTCTCAAACTCACTCAGTCCTCCTGATCCTCCTGCTTCAGCCTCCTGAGTGCTGGGAATACAGGCAAGCACGACCATGCCTGGCATCTTATCTTCTCTAGCTCAGGTCTCTAAATGTAAAAAATAGTAGACCCAACTTAGATCCTAGAGCGGAGCAGGGGGAGGGGTGCAAAGGATAGACCCCTGAAATGTTTGGGTTTACCACACTTTCCTTCTCGGTTTTTGTATAAGCTCATTTGGTCCTGGGTACCCACCTGGACAGATCGATTAAAGACTTCTGAGACTAGAAGGACTTCCTAAATTCAACTGCTTTTTTTTTTTTCCTTCTTGTAGTCTACAATGATAGACTAGGCTGACGGCTCCTGCCCCAACACCCAAAACTGTTGTGTCAATCTTTTTTTTTTTTTTTTTCATTATTGGGGATCAAAACCAGGGGTGTGTTCTATCAGGCTTTTTTTTTTTTTTTTAATTTTAAGACAGAGTCATGCAGTTTGCCCAGCCTGGTCTTGAACTTGCGATCTTCTTGCCTCAGCCTCGTAAGTCACTGGGATTACAGACCCATGCCCCTGGTATCTGACTGTTGTGCCAATCTAGGTACAACAACCTCATTAGGGGTTGCAAGCAGTCACTCTTGTCCTGGGCTGAGGCTGAGAACAGGGGTCCCTGCCCTGTGGGAGGCTCAGACATGATGGAAACACACTTAGAGTCTGGCAAGTCTTGGAAAACGAGCAGCTGAGCCTTGAGTGAATTCAGGATGTAGACGTGGCCAGGAGCCTGTCAAGAACAGTTCCTTGGGGGTGGGAGTGCAGCTGTGTGGTAGAGCATTGGCCTCGTATGCTCAAAGCTTTGGCTTGGATCCCCAGCACTGGAAAAGAGAATGAGTCCTTAGTAGAAGGTAAGCTGGGGATAATAGCTCAGCGGTACAAGCGCCTGCCTGGCAAGTGCAAGGTCCCGCGTTTGATTCCCAGCCGAAAAAACAGAAACCACGACAAAAAAAAACCCCTAAAACTTGGTAGAAAGTAGTTGTATTTAAGGTTTACTGATAAAGTACGGATGGCTAGAACTGGTGTTTGCGGGGTACCTAACAAAAGCTAAAACGTTGGAGTTGTGGGTGGAAATTGAATTGAGCTTGGCCCTTGATCTGCCCTAGTTGAGGAAGGCAAGATGCGAATTCATGGTGAAGCCACTAACCGTGGTGACATGCAGCGGCTCTCAGCATTCATTAGGTGTCATAGTCACCTAAATACAGAGATCCAGGCCTCACTGCTAATCTTGTGTGTGGGAGGGGGTTGGGAATTTATAGCAAATGCTGCAGTGTTCTCAGCAGGGAAAGCTTTAGCAGAAGGGTGGTTTGAGCTGCATCTTGAAGGAAGGATCTGATTTGGATGTATAGAGATGCGGGGGAGTCACTATCCTGGTTGACCAGATGTCCACTGGGTAATGTCCTTGTCTCAAGAAATAGATTTGGTTGAGTTTGTAGAAATAGCATGTGCAGGGGCTGGGGGGTTAGCTCAGTGGCCCAGCGCCTGCCTGGCAAGTGCAAGGTCGTGAGTTCAATTCCCGGTACTGGAAAAAACAACAACAACAAAAAAGAAATAGCGTGTGCACAGTTTTGGGAATTGAGGCAAGAGGGGCATTTTGAAAGCATCAGGTTGGAGCTCTGGGTTTGCATGGGAGGGCCGAGAAGGGATGGCCTTTGCGGTTTATTACAAGGCTTGCCGTCAGGCTCCCGCCCCTTCCTATCCTCTCCCTTTTCCTCTTCTTTCTTTCCTCCCCTCACTCATGCATAATATCTCCTTCCATCCTTATATCAGTATATGTAGTGGGGATTTTTCTTACTTGGATGAGGAAGCCTGAGGCTCTGGCCATGCTTGCAGACCTTGCAAGAGTCTATTCTGAGTAAGGTAGTCATTCTGCTTGCCCCTGAGGATTCTTGAATGTGGCAGAGAAGTTGCTCTGGGGCTAGGGGGCTGTAGAATTAGTGGGGTGGCTGATCGGGTCATCTAAGGCAAGATGGTGTGTGTGGTTAAGAGCCTTGAGTTAGGGTAGTGTGGGTTCAAATTCCAGCTTCATTATTTGCTAACTGCCTGACCCTGGGCAAGGTGCTTGATCTTGCTAAGCCTCAGTCTCCTCATTTCTAACTTGGGAGCAGTAATGCCCACCTCGTGGGGTTGTTAGGAAGACCAATGAGGTGTATCTGGTGTAAAGCAATTGCGCACCACCTGGAAACGATTGTAATAAGCCCACTCGGGTCTCTGGGCTATGGCTCTGCACCTGCATCTCATTCGTCAGCACGGTGGTGTCCAGGACACTGCCCATCCTGGTTGGGCTTGTTTCATTAAGGATGAGATGTAGAAAGGATGCCGCCAGCAAGTGTACACTGAAGGCCTACTATGTGCTCAGTTCCCAGGCTGGGCTGGGGACTCATGTCTCAGCCCTGTGCCTGACGGGAAGGAGTTTGGAGTGGAGGGTGGTTGTTCGGCTTTGGCTTATTCTTAAGGTGGTATGTGAAGAGGAAGGACTTTAGAAGTGGGGTGGGGGTGGGGGCTTCACTACTGAGAACTGAGTTTGAGCTTAGTACTACTTGGCAGTTGGCAGATGACTAACACGGTCCCCTGGGGTCCCTTGTGAGCCCACAGACTGGTAGTGGAGGCCCTGGCCAGCGTGAGCCCCTCCCACTGGGGGCTGATGTGGCATCTGTCTTCCTCTTTTCCAGGTGATGGGGCATGGCTGTGCCTCAAGCTTTTCCAGCGGGCCCCCTTTCCGAGCCTGCAGGTGCCCTGACGGAGGCCCAGCCCTGTGCTCGGAATTTGGCTGAGGGCTTCCTGGAGGAAGAGCTTCGGCTCAATGTTGAGCTGAGCCAACTGCAGTTTTCCGAGCCTGTGGGCCTCATCTACAATCCTGTGGATTATGCGTGGGAGCCGCATCGAAGCTACGTGACTCGCTACTGCCAGGGCCCCAAGGAAGTGCTGTTCCTAGGCATGAACCCAGGACCTTTTGGCATGGCCCAGACTGGGGTAAAGGGCCTGGCTTCCCCCGGTGGGTGGAGTGGGAGGCTTCTAGGTGGCTGCGTGGCTGGGGACGTGTGTGCCCCTCCCCCAGCCTCTCCTAACACACCCCGGCTCCTGTGGCCTCAGACACTCTGGGCCTCGCTGCCCATTGTTAACCAAGCACATTAATGGTAGTTTTGTCTTCCTGTGAGCTCTGTGCTAATTGCCTCTGAGAGCTCTTCCTTCCGCCATCCCCCACCCTTGCCCAGCCTCGTTGGATCTCCCTTGTCCCTAGAGTACAGCTGGGGTCAGGAGAGGGACTAGAGCTGCTGGGTCCTCCAGGAAGATTGGTTGGCAGGGGTGGGTACCAAGGAGATGCAGGGTGTTCTGGCAGCCTGAGGAGAGGTTCCGAGCAGAGCCAGGCTGCAAGGCCTGCCTGCTGTCCTTTCAGCGCTCGGGATGAGTGACTGCCCCTCAGGGGGGTGCTTGGCAGGTGGGGGAGGGGAGGAGGCCTCAGGGCAGGAGACTCAATCGCTTTTATTGACCCCAACTGGGTGATGAAAGGTGATCAATGATGATCGATGGAAATGACAACCTGAGGCTTGGGGCTGGGAGGGCACCTAGAGAGCGGTGGTCAGCCCTGTCCTGGGGCTTCCTTTAATCCTGGCTGTCACTCTGTCTCAGGCCATCTGGGTCCGCATTACGTCAGGGCCTGTGTAGGGTCAGATGTCCCAGCGTATGCCCTGTACCTACTTCCAAAGCTGGTGAGGGTGGAGGCAAACAAATAGAGTCTTCTGGGCCACAGGCCACAATGAGGAAACTGAGGGAAGTTGGACGAGTCCAAAGCACAGGCCCAGGAATCTGTCTTGGACCTTTGTGTAGGGGGGGAGGGGGCCAGGTGGCCCAGAGCCCAGGTGTGAGGTCCTGTCTCTCCTTCTGCACAGGTGCCCTTTGGGGAAGTGAGTGTGGTCCGAGACTGGTTGGGCGTTGGGGGGCCTGTGCTGACTCCTGCCCAAGAGCACCCCAAGCGACCAGTGCTGGGACTGGAGTGCCCACAGTCGGAGGTGAGCGGTGCTCGATTCTGGGGCTTTTTCCGGAACCTCTGTGGACAGCCCGAGGTCTTCTTCCGGCACTGCTTTGTCCACAATCTTTGTCCTCTGCTCTTCCTGGCTCCCAGCGGACGCAACCTCACCCCTGCCGAGCTGCCTGCTAAGCAGCGAGAACAGCTTCTGGGGATGTGTGACGCAGCCCTCTGCCGCCAGGTGCAGCTGCTGGGGGTGCGGCTAGTGGTAGGAGTGGGGAGGCTGGCGGAGCAGCGGGCACGACGGGCTCTGGCTGGCCTGACGCCAGAGGTCCAGGTGGAGGGGCTCTTGCATCCCTCTCCCCGAAACCCACAGGCCAACAAGGGCTGGGAGGCAGTGGCCAAGGAAAGGCTCAGTGAGTTGGGGCTGCTGCCTCTGCTGACAAAGTGAAAGCCCCCGGGGCTTTGATGTAGGGCACATTCAAGGGCCCCAAGTCATCCTTGCACAAGCAGATGACTGCACATCTCCTGGACTGGACCAGCAAGGTCTTCTTGGGCTCTCTGGTGCCAGCAAACACGTTTTTTGATCTGTTGATGCATCTTCCGGCCTGACCTGAGGCAGTGTCTGCCTGAGTGAGAAGTGACACTGCTGCGGTTTGCCCTGCTGCTTCCTGCGCCTTCTTTGAGCGTTGGCCCTTTCGTGTTACAGTGTCTGACTCCACAGAGAATCAGCACAGGTGGGCGTTCTGCCGACAGCTCTACCTCACTGTCCCTTGCGAGCCTCTGCGCAGCTGAGAATGTCCTGGGCAGACACTTCTAAGGTCGTGTGTGCTGTTTCAGAGGGAAGATTTTTTAATCTTATATTTTTATTGACGTTTATTAAGCGTACAGATTAATGGGGTTCAGTGTGGTTTTTCCACACACACATACAGCGTGCACTTACCCAACCTCCTTTTTACCCAGCCTCCCCCACCCTCACCTCTTCCAACCAGAGGCTGGCTCTCCAGGATTCCTGCCCGTCCTTAACGGAACAACTTCCGCCGGCGGACCCTTCTCCCGCAAGGACCAGGGCAGGGCATGGGGTGTGAGGTTAATAATGAACTTCCTGTAGGAGGCTGAGGCTAGATGAGAATTCGGTGTGGCAGAGTAGGGAAAGTCAGAAGAGCTGAATTTTCATCCTAGCTTTGACACTTGTGAACTTTATTGTCCTTTTTATGTTTTATTTTTTGTTGTTTTTTATTTTTCTTTTTGTGGGATTTGTGAACTTGTGTCTCAGGATCTTCGTCTATAAACTGGGGATGCTTTTTTCATGGGGTTCTGGTGAGGATCAACTGAGCTCACACTTTAGAGGCCTTGCACAGGCCCCGCACTAGGTGCTCACTACATATTCTCCTTGCGTTCTGGCCTCTGGGGTGGGAAGCTGCTGCACTACAAAGGAAGCCCCTCTTCACTCTGAAGACTGCTGGGAGGCGTTCGGGCCTCCATCTGTGGTCTGGGTGAGGTGGACCAATAACTGAAAAACCCAGCCTGTGATTTTTCAGTCTAAGCATTAAAAGCTCCTAAACTCTCTTGTGTCAGTGCTTTTTCCCCCCGCCTCCTGAACACCATGGATGGGACGTGGCTTTTTAGATATCTCTTGCTCGTACCTCTTCATGATGTGCAAGGGTTCTTTTGGGCATCCGGAAAAAGGGGTGTAACATCTGCCTTACCAAAGCCACTGGGTCTCCAGTATGGGCTTGCCCAGTAGTTTTCCTGATCCTTGGGCCCCCTGGGGGACAGGTAACAGGGTGGGTGGGAGCTGGGACTAAAGTCACTGCAGTACAAGAGAAGTCCTTTTATTCTTGGAAGACCTTGCTGGGGAAAGTCTGGGCTTCCACCTGTGGCCTGGGCAAGGGGCAAATTGTTGCAATGCCAGAGATGGAACAACAGCTATGAAGACCTGAAGTCTGGCTCAGTTATTTGCTGTATGGCTGGTTGGATGGCTTTTTGGTAAGGGCTGGGAAAGAACTAAGTTGGGAACAGAGCAACTTTCGAGACCATCTTAATGTGGAACACTCCAGGTCTTCTGCAACACAGGTCATCTCCAGCTGTCTCAAAATTAATAAAAAAAAAAAACCTTCCCGACCTCACTGTGAAATAAAGAATTTGAGGGAATCTTGAGAGGGAGTCTAAATTCTTGGGAGTTTTTGCAAGCAGTAGAGGGTCTGTTGTTCATGGTAGGCCCCTCAAATCACACCTGACTGTTGAAATTTGGTCTAAGAACCATACTTAAATTTATATTGAGATTTGATCTCAGACCACACCTAAGTTTATACTAAGATTGACCTAGGATGGAAGCTGACCATGCAAGAAAGATAATCGTGTGTAGCGGGTTGGAACTTTCACCTGGGTGATACTAACTGATCTCTTGAGGATGGGAATGGGGCTGGAGAGTCAATTCAGCAGTGTTGCCCTTGATTTCAATCAATCATGGCTAAGTAATGAAGCCCTAGTAAGAGCTCTGGACAGTGAGGTTTGGTTTCTTACAAGACCAGTACTCTCACCCCTGAGCTATGGAGCTCCTGAGATTTTGGTTTCTTGAGTGAACATGTGGACCTGTTGGGAAGGTCCTGACTCCATGGGCAGAGTACACAGAACTGTGTTTGAAACACAGACTTTGCTTGCTTTTTGTTTGGCTGGTCCATTTTTATTTTTGTTTTTGTTTTTGGCGGTGCTGGAGATCAAACTTGGGGCTTATGCATGCAAGCATGCTGAACACACACTCTAGCACTGAGCAGATTTCTGGTTCCTGATTCTCTATAATAAAACTGTAATCATAAGTATAGTCTTTCCTGAGTTCTGTGTGTCTGTAGCAAATGATTGAACCAGAAGGATTATAGGAACCCTTGAGTTTGTAGCCAGTTAGTCAGAAATGCAGTGGCATGAGGACCCCCAAAGATGCCACTGGAATCTGAACTGTGCCCTTGACCTAGAGTCTGTACAGACTCCAGGTCACTAGCGTCAGCACTGCATACCTCAGTATTACACTGCCACAAGCCTCAGGCTCTTTCCCTCTTCTGTCAGTGTTAAATAGGAGTGCCCTGGGGTGTAGAGCACTGGATTGGGCTTTATGGAATGATTGGAGAGATAGAAGCTGTCGTTCCTTGTATATTTAGCTCAGATAGCCAGGGAAAGTACTCTGTTGTAAATGACATTTCAGGGGGCCTTAGAGACTGGGCAGTTTGAGAGCTTAGCATTTGTTTTGAGACAGGGTCTTGCTCTTCGGTCCAGGCTGGCCTTGAACTCACGATGTACCCAGTGATCCTCCTTCCTCAGCTTTGAGTGCTGGGGTTACAGGTGTGCGCCACATGCCCAGTGAGAACATCATTATTATGTTCAAAGGGTGGCAAGTAGTGTTGGCCAGGATCTGCTGGGAGAAAATGGAGAGAGGAGATGGGGCCCCCTTGTGAAGGGAAACGAGTGCTAGAGTAATCTTTGAGAATTTGGAGCCCAGTGGGGAAAGAGATGCATAGAGTACACACTGAGACCACCCAACCAGAGGAGGAAACCCCACAGATGAAAACAAAGGATGTACCATATGAGCTTCGCATCACTGACAAAACAGCTAAGATAATCAAGCTAATACAGAAAAAGTGTGTTTGGCTGGTTTGTTTATTTATATATGTACTGGGGATTGAACTAAGGGCCTTTGGCAGGCTAGGCAAGTGCTTTACCACTGAGCTACTTCCCTGGACAGAATAACAGCTGTTAAGGCTTATGATTTCAGCAGTTTCAGTCCATGGTCACTTGGCTTTATTGCTCCGGGCCTGTGGCATCAGTACATCGTGGCAGGAGCTTACGGCAGAGGAAACCTGTTCACCTCATGGTAGCAGGGAAGCCAAGAGAGAGAAGAGGCTGGGGTCCCAGTATTCCATTCAGGGCACAAGGCATTGACCTAACTTCCTCCCATCATGTTCCACCTCTTAAAGGTTCTTCTACCACCTCCCAGGAGCACCATAGGCTGGCGACCAAACCTTCAACACATGGGGCTCTGGGGGACATTCAAGTTCCAAACCACAGCAAAGGAGCACGCCATATAGGAGGCAGCGTGGGTGCCATGGGAAAGGAATTGGGATGAAATGAGCATGTAGGAGGGATGTCCTAGGGCACAGCAGGGTTGAGGTGAAAGCCTACAATAGGGTGAGAATCACGACATAGAGGAGGTCCTGTTGGGTAGTGCGTAGATGAACGTGGGCAGTGGAGACCATAGTAATGACTTCAAGGCCTGGGTTTGGTGGGTCACTGCCTGGTCTGCCTTCTAGTGGGGCTGTTGCCCTTGATTCCACGGCATGATTTGTTAGGGAGCGGCTGATTGGTCCTGGGCCTACTTTTGCCCAATTATTAGTATATTGGCACAGACATAACCAAAATACCACAGACTGAGTAGCTTAAACAACAGGGATTTATTTTGTCACAGTTCTGGAGACTGGAAGTCTGAGATCAGGTGTTTTTTTCCGGTACCGGGAACCGAACTCACGATCTTGCGCTTGCCAGGCAGGCGCTTTTGCCGCTGAGCTAAATCCCCAGCCCTGAGATCAGGTGTTGGAGCTTAGCTTTCTCTGAAGTCCTGTTCTTGGCTCACAGACAGCTGCCTTCACCATGTGCCCCTCCATAGACTTTCTGCCACGTGCACCTTCCAGGGCTCCTCCCTGCTTCTTTGATGGACACGTGTCATACGGGATTAGAGCCCCACACTTCCAAGTTCATTTAGCTTTACTTATCTCTTGAAAGGCCTTATTTCTAAATATAGTCATATTAGGGCTTCAATGTATGAATTTTGTGGGGATGTCATTCATAACACGCACTCAAAGTCATGTCACTACCTTTTGGGTCACTTATCAGTGTTAGCCTCAAACAAGATCAGGTACTCAGGAGTGCCTTTTTTCCAGCCTGCAGAGTTGGAAGCTGACCTAGCAGCTTAGCCAGCTGAATGGACAACTCCACCAAACAGGCTCTTGCCTCTGTTATTAAGTGCAAATGAGAGTGTCTTTATTTATTTATTTTGTCTTTTTGAGACAGGGTCTCGCTATGCAGTTCAGGCTGCCTTGAGCCCACTTTGTAGCCCAGGCTGGTCTTGAACTTGCAGCGATCCTCCTGCCTCAGCCTCTCAAGTGCTGGGATTGCAGGCATGTGCTGCCACACTCTGTGAGAGTGTCTTTAGAGAGAGAGAAGAGGTGCCACACCCTGTTCATTTTTCCTCCTGAGCCAAAGGGATTGGATTCTTCTGTTGGCACAAAACAGTATTGTGAGCTGCCTGATGTCCAACTGATGTAACTTAAGGTCATTTAGAGTCCAGCACAGTGGCCACTAGCCATGTGTGGCCATTTTAAGTTAATTAAAATGAATTCAATGCAGTTCTTCAATTTAGTAGCCATATTTCCAGTGGTCAGTAGCCACACATGGCTAGTGGCTACTGAGGGAATGGCAGAGGTACAGAACATTTCCATTACTGGAGAAAGTTCACTTGAGCAGCATTGATCTAGAGGTCAGTGGCTCACACTCTGCCTGTGAATCCGAATTGACCTATGGCGGTTTAGAAAAACAGGTATCTCAGCTCCACTTCAAGACCTTTTGATGTGGGAGGCTGGACATGCACCTGGGTACATCTTTAACAGAATCTCTTTGTGCTACTTTTATTTATTAAGTTTATTTGGAGACAGTCTCTGTGTAGTTCAGACTGGCCTCGGACTCATTATATACCCAGGCTGGTCTTAAACTTGCGGTAACCCTGCCTCAGCCTCCCAAGTTCTGGGATTACAGGTGTGAGCCACCACACTGGGACTTATCGCTTCTTTTATCCCCTGATTGAAGCAGGGTGGCTTAAAGGAAGATTGGGTCTTGACTTTGACACTCCGTGGCTTCTCATTTGCCTTTCCCAATTCAGCAAACCTTTGTTAACGTCTGCAATGTGTCATTCCTGTGCTAGGCACTGTAGGGAGTGACAGGTGAATCAGATGGTGCTCTGCCTTCACGTTGGTGACCGTCCAGTGCTGGGAGATAGAAGTACATAATTATAGCATGAATCAAACTGAAAGCATGTTGTGAACAAGTTATCAAACCAGTGCTCTGGACACACTGAATAAGGAAGCAATGACCCCTCAATGAATGTAGAAAGTGTGTGTGCCAATGGGGGAGAGTGGCCGTTGGAGATCTCTGATCACTTACTAAATCTTACCATCTCCATGGAGTGGATATTCAAGAAAAAAAAAAGGGGGCACTGTGTCAGACATGAATTGTTCAGCCCTAACTGCAAGGAGTTAGGAAACAGGATGAGGGGCGGAAGTCAGAGGCCGGAGTTTGGTGGGAGCCAGCTCCCAGCTAGGTGGGCATGGCTCTGGGGAGAGAGGGAGGAACTCCTTGTTCTGTGAACTTCCAGGATAGAAAACTACATCAGCTTGTGTTAGGGAGTGTTCAGGTGCTAGGTAAAAAATTACTGAAAATAGGCTGTAGTTGTAGCTCAGAAGTAGAGCACCTGCTAAGAAGCACCAGGTTGTGAGTTTGATCCTCAGTACCTACCCCTTGCCATGGGC